AAAGGATTTTAAGTGCGCCTTATAGTCCCAAAAATGCTGTGTTTTTGTTTTTATTAAGTCAAAATTGAAATACTCGCCACCAAAGATATAAAGTCCTACAGAAAATGCTCCAAAACCTCGAATAATAAATGTACATTCTAGGTTGCCTATTTTGGCCCTGGACGTCATTACAAAAGGAAATAGTAAGACTTTATGGCTACGTGGTTACATAAGGATTACAAGACATTGGTAAATATTTACTAGCAAATACTATAGCAGATAACTTTTTTTAAAATCCAACCATCCTCTTCTACTTATTATTGAATTATTGAAGAGTCCAAATTGCTCATGTCTTTGGACTGTGGGAGGAAGCCGGAGTACTTTGAGAGAATCCACACAAACACAGGCAGGTCCCAGCCAGAGATTGGGTTCAAACCCAGAACCTTGCTGTGATGCAACAGCAACTAACCACCATGCAAACATGCTGCCTACTTGGACTGTCTATACGACTGTAATTCAGGGATGTAGATGTGTTAACGCATGTTACCTGTTATCATGGTCCTCCTGCCATATTCGACTGACCTGCAGTTTCTCATTGTTTGTTTTGTGCTCCTCTTCACTCTCTTCGATCTTTTTGTGTGCACGCACCTTCATGCAAACATGGGCCTGGAGAGTTTCCTGCTCTGAAGCCAGCCACACCTGATGATAATCACATGCATCTGCTTCTGATAATCACATGCATCTGCTTCTGATGAGCTCATCAGGTTGCATGTACTTGTGATGAGCTCCGAATTTCCCGGAGGAACCCACCCGAGGGATTAATTACGTTTTTTAAGTTTTATTTAATCTATCGACACCTAATTAAGAGACTGGCTGAGCTTCAGTCACCGCTGGATTATTGTGTGACAATAGCCAGTGAACCCCAGCTTGTGCAGCTGTGGAACGTTCTTGTGCCTTGGCAAGTAAGGAAAACTAACAGCTGTGTTTTGTTCATGCTCAGCAAACCGTGGGAGAGTATGTGGAAGGAGCCAAGTGTGTTGTTGTAAATATGACTGTGGAGAAAAGATTTTAGAAAAGGATTCATTATCCCGGGAGCTGGAAAGTCACTGCTAAGAATATCACGTTTATAGGAACTGTTTTGCACTGCGTTGCTTTTCACTGTTAATAAATTCACCGGCTTCGTTCTGGAAGTCCTGCATTTGGGTCCTGTTTTTTCAACAGACTTGGCACTGGGTGAGAAATGTGGTACACTGTGGGTAAGTAAAAAACAGTGTTGGGGAGGTTACTTTTAAATTGTATTACACTACAGATTACATGGCAAAATCTAGTTTGTAACATATTCAATTAAGTTACTCAATGTAACCTACTCTGAATACTTTGGATTACTTGACATATTGGCATGCTTCTTACAACTACATGAATGTACTATTGCTGCGTGATTTTACCATTAGTAAACGCTACTTGCCACCGAGCTAACATTGTTAGCTGGTGTTAGCTGAGGTTAGTTCAGACTGCTTTCAGAACTGCACATGATTAGTTGCAGCAGGATGTTAATGCTATCCATCAAGTCTAACAGCCTGCAGTCTATGAACTAACCTCAGCTACGCCAGCTAATAATGTTAGCTCGGTGGCGAGTAGCCTTCAGTGATAGTAATAAATTACACAGCAATAGTACATCTAAGATACTAAAGTGGCACATAACCCAGGTAGCTACCACAACTGAAACAAGGTAGTTGCAGTAGGCTAACTACAGGTTGTTGTTGTTGTTGTTGTTGTTGTTTTTTTTTGTTTTTTTTTTAAGAACTTACTTCCAGATGGTTCTTTAGGTTGGAGGTTGAGCCTTTTGACGCTGAGAGCAACTTGGTTGCTGACGAACAGAGTTTGCATTGCATGGTCAGATTTCGCCCATCCCTTTCTTCTTTAAATATGAAGTGGTGTCAGAATTTCCAATTAAGAAATGCAGAAATTCCTGCCCATGCACTGCTGGCTCTGTTGCGCTGGCTCCAGGTCCATTTTGTAACTGACGCCACCAACATAAACAGGATGCTTACATTAGAGCCTTTTATTGCGTGTTTTGTTTGGGTTTCTGGCAATGCATGGAATTACCAAAATTAGAGAGGGGATAGCCTAACATATGAAAGAGGAAAGGATCGCCATGTAATTCATTTATTTCAGCAAAGTAACTGTCTTCTAATTATCACCTTTTTAAACGGTAGCGGAATGCAGTTACTCATTTTGAATTTAAATGTATTCCGTTACTCCCCAACGCTGGTAACAAGTACAGTCACAAAAATTCAGACAACCATTCAAACTCAAATTGACACTGAAGACTAATTCATTTCTGTGTGGAGAAATGTGCCCCTGTACCTGTGTGGGTTCTCTTCAGGTACTATGGATTCCTCTAAAACTTCAAAGACATGCATGTTCTGTTAATTTGTGATTCTAAATTTCCCATTGGTATTAATGTGAGCATGAATGGTTGTCTCTATTAGTTATCCCTGCAATGAACTGGCTACCTGCCTAGGGTGGCCTTTCACAGTTGGGGCAGGCTTGAGCACCCACTTTGTCCTAAATTGGAGAAGCAGTTTATATTAAAAAAGTATTTAAAAAGTAAGTAAAGTAATTTTAAAAGTATCCTCATTTTGTAAAACATGAATTAATAAATGTCTTTAATATTGAAATGATAACAATACTGGTAATTCTATTACAGGTGTTACCCAAAGGAACCTCCTCTCAAAGCGTCGTCTCTGCAGCAGGAACATCAGACATGTGTAAGGTTTTTTTTTATTTTTTATTTTTTTTATTAACACATGTATTAGGCACTCCCAAATCTCAGCGGCCTTTTCCCAAAGCCATGCACCTTGTGAACATTGTAAGTCTTAATACTGGCCCCTGGTTCAGTATTCATGTCAATGACCTTTAATAAAACAGCAAGGATTTTGACATTCTGTGTCTCTTATATAAAAGACAACAATAATAATACTCTGTGCTTGTAAGTTTAAGAGACTTCAAAACTGAAAGTATTTAGAAAAATTGAGTATTGTGCTGGACCTGAATATTATAAAGACTAACAAAGATGTCTTTGTTTAAAACCAGTACTTTCCAAGTACTGCAAAAGTGCAGATCCTGAAATTTTAAGGTGATTAAAAATAAGTACAAAGACACCCAAATCTTGAAAAAGTCTGTAATCATGAGAATAAGGATGTAATATGTATAATACATAACAATAACATAACTTCAGAGTTCATATTTATGCTTTTAACTTTCATACACTGAACCAAACAATGATGGAGCATTGCAAATATCCCTAATCTTTTTAAGAGCTCACTAATACAGCCCTTTTGACCGTTTATTTGCTGATAACATGGCACCAAATTTTTACATTTTAAATTAAGCTTTTAACTTGCTCTTATCGCTACCATACTGAAAATGCATAAGTGCTAATTCATTGTTTGGAATATAGTACACTTTTCTTTCTTTCTTTTAAATGAAGCTTACGCGCATGTTGTTCTAAATGCTCATCTGCCAGCTTTCCTGGGTGTTAGGCTGCTGCTTTCTGTTCTCTACATCACCACTGCATTCCCACACTGCCAGTTTCAATACTGACTTCATTATTCTAGTCTAATCATCTTCTTGCCTGCTTCCTTTGGGAAAGTCAGTCTGCACTTTGTATATTAAAACTGCTGTTATCCTCTTTCAGACTCATTCATGCAACCCATCTCCACCTCATACACAAATTCCTTTCAAGCCTCAGTCTTCATCTTCACCACCACCAGTACCTAGACTCTGGGAGGGGGAGGGGGGGGTTTCTCTGGAGCATTGAACTCAGAGAAATTAATTTCTCTGTTTCAGTAAATCATGTCCAGTTCTTCAAAATGATCTCTCTGTATTGAAATATTATACTAGATTATGTCTATATTGAATGACCAATGAACCATATATACCAGCTGTTAAAGGGAGCTGTCCTGACTGGACTTTATAACGATAACGCAGTGCTTTGAAAGTGCTATTAAATCCAATGGCAAATTCAAGCCTGGTAATACTTATTTAGTGATGGAAACTTTTATATGACCTCATGTACCCATCTGCCTGAATCACTTCACTGAGATGATATTAATAACAAGCTGAACAGTGTTACTTATTAAGCTTTTTTTAGTAACTATTCAACATACTTAAGCTTTTCAATTCACATTTAATTTTGAACTAAAAATACTGATCTTTCATTCCATCATGTCATTATGTCACATTTGAAAGGGCAATGTGAGAAACTAGTATCATGTGAAAACGGTGACAAAAATATGTTTTACAGAAGTGATCCCACGATGGATGTATAACAGCAGTAGAATAACACAAGCTGCTGTGTGACCTATAATAACAGTGATCATTGTAGCAATAACCCACTAAACTACACAGAGGAGAGACCAAAACACAAGGGGAACCTAACAGACAAGAAACTAAACAGGAAATACAAGGAACTCAGAGCATAGAATAAATTCAGGACTACCTAATGAATCTTAAATCATCATCATTATAATACATAACAATCACCAAAACACAAGAAAGTCAAAATGCTGGGTCAAATGATCCAGATCCATGACAGCTGCCCTGCCAAACAAAAGAGACTTTGAATTGTGGTTCTGTCAGGAAGCTCCTCTTTGGTGCTTTCTGTGACCTGTGACCACGAGAAACATTAGGAGGTGGTTAGAGTAGGCCTTAGCGGGTCTACAGGGCTGTTTTGACTGACCGGGAGACACTCTGTGAGCCTCACACCAAGGACATCAATGGGCTTACTGAGAGTATCACTGACTACATAACCTGCTGCACCGACTCCATTGTTCCAGCTCTCTCTTCACATTGCATTGTTGCCTCTAGTGAATGTCCTGACACCCTTCTCCCACCTATCACTTTCACTCATGACCAAGTTCAGAGGCAAATGAGGAGACTCCAATCAGGCAAGTCTGCTGGACCAGACAGGGTGAGTCCCCACGTCCTCAAGGTCTGTGCCCCCCAGCTTTGTGGAGTCAGAAACTGTTCATGTTGAGTCTGAGTCTGCAGAGGGTCCTAGTGGTGAGGAAGACATCACGCCTCGTCCCTGTACCAAAGGCGCCACGTCCCAGTGGCCCCCAGGATTCCAGGCCTCTGGCACTGACCTCCCACATCATGAAGACCCTGGAAAAATCATCCTGGACCAGCTCCGACCCGTAGTCAGACCACATCAGGATCACCTGGATGCATCAGCAGGGGTGATGAGATAGAGTACTGGGCTGTGGTTGACTCCTTCGTCACATGGTGCAAGCAGAATCCTCTGCAGCTCAACATGGCGAAACCAAGGAATTGATTGTGGACTTTAGGAAGACCAGGAAGCCCTTGACCCCTGTTTCAATCCAGGGGGTCGATGTGGACATTGTGGAGGACTATAAATACCTTGGAATACACATGGACAATTAACTGGACTGGGCTACAAACACCACTGCACTTTACAGGAAAGGCCAGAGTCGTCCCTATTTTCTGAGGTCCTTCAACATCTGTCAGACAATGCTCAGGATGTTCTGTGAGTCTTTTGTGGTCAGTGCTATCCTCTATATTGTTGCATGCTAGGGCACCATGTCAACATTCTTGATATTTATTTATAATCACCTCCGTCAATCCTTGATATTTATTATTGAGTGATTTGTATATATTGTGCTATTTCTTAAATGTCTTAAATCTGTAACATATAGTATTGTTAAATAGTCTAGTCTGGTTCTGTTACTGTTATTTATACTGGAGCAACTGTAACCCACATAATCTTCTTAGGGATTAATAAAGTATGCTGATTCTGATTTCTGGAAATCTGACCATCCAAAATGGAAGATATGGACCATAGAGACATCTCTGCAAACTGATGTAACAATGGTTGAAGTCAAGTTTTGGACTCAAATTCAGAATAATCGAATAATGGTAGAATAATGGACCAAGATACTGAACTGTATTTGGAAAGATACTGTGACGTCTTACAATCGCCAGTTAAACCATAAATAAATTTGGTCTGTGATATGGAGTAAAATATTTAAAGTTTGTTTGCGAAAATACAGATTCTATGGAGGACTGTATATCTGGCACCAGCACAGAAGCACAGATGTCCTTTTTAGAGATGTTTTAAAAGAAGAAAGACTATGCTATCAGTGCACCCAGGGTTCAGGTGCAAGGCTCATGCAGCTAAAGCTGTGGTGGACAAAATGTTTGACAGAAATAGAGAAAATGTTATGTTATGTCATTTGTTTGACTTTTGTTGTAGAAAGTTAAGATGTTTTGTCGGCATGCAATGTGTCTGTGAGAATACGACGGCCGTGGGCTGAGTTCCTTTAGCCATCAGTATTGTTAACTTTAGCTAGTAAACTAGTTTGCTAACATAGCTGATAAGACTAGTGTCAATCTCACTTTGGCCGTACAAATGATAGGTCCTGCATTATATTGATATTATACTTTATATACATTGAACTATAAAATAACATTTTCTTAAGATGGAAATTATATCAGAGCATTAAACAGGCTGGTGTTATTTTGGGGTTAGAGGGTCTAAAAGGCTAAAGATGATACAGATGATAAAGACACATGACTTCCTTATGAAATATTATGTAATCCTGGAGATTAATTTACTCCAAAATATTGTTTTTGTCAACAAATGTGTAGCATTCATAGCATTATGTCCCATATTAATATAACGTTAAAACACAATGTTAGAAAAATGTTAATGATATAAATATGATGAAATTCAGGGTTCTAAAGTCACTTATGCACACTAGCCAAACAGCCACTGCGAAAAATCACATTAAGATCGTACCAGTGCTTTAGTGTGCCGTCATGTTCATGTCTGGGTTGTTCACGTTGTACCCTAAACATTTCTTCGACTCAAGTTTGACTCCTTTTTTCTGAGAAAAGAGGATGTGGTGCTCTGATTTGCCTTGACGACATGTGTAATTAAAAAAACATGAAAAATGGTAAAAACCCTTTTGGTCTATGTTGACACTCTTTCCCTTAAACAAAAAAAGCCCATCTCGAAGGGGAAACAGTTAAGAGCTCACTAAATGAAACAGCTTTTTATGGTTAATCTTTAAAAAAATGTAAAGAGTGAAAATGTCTGTGCTCTTCCCCTCCAAACCTTATTTTGCTTTTATTAGGTTAAAAGGTGAACTAATATTAATCTGAACTGAACAAGAATAAACCCATGACAGGAGTCAGTATTTCATTACTTTAATAAAGCATCATGTTTGAGGACGACTATATCAAAACACGTGTTTATAGGAGGAATGATGAAAATGATGGAAGCTATTAATTCAAGGTGGTTGCAATAGAAATCCCAAACCTTTGTGTTGACTGTGATATTATTTAATAATTGATTAGCAACTCTAATATCTTTAGATCTATCAGGTGTTTCATGCAGTTTTATTCCCAGAATAACAGCTTTTATTGAAAAAAATAATTCAATAATCTTAAAAAAAAAAGTCTAAGAAGATATCAAAGAAGAAGGGATGAGAAACAGAAATGTATTGTATAAGTCATCCATAAAACCATAATTTCAGGAATTTGCTCTCTCACACCGCCCTGTAATGGCTCTTGCTAAGCTTTTCTGGTTATTAAGCAATGAATATGGTGTTTTTCTTGGCTGTGAATTAAAGGTGAACTTCATTACGTTTGTAGTTCACAAACAATGAAACAAAGGACTCTCGAGCTATGACTGACACAAGTCATATCTCAGTCATTTCCTCTCTCTTTGCAAATGATTTTTCATACTTTGTCTATGAACTTCAACCTGTGGTTGGTTCAAAATGTACATATATTACTCACACAGACACCCTTGAAAGAAAAAAAAAAAAAAAGAAGAAAAAAAAAACCCAAACCAGACAGACACTACATGAACATGAATGAGAACAAAATCTGGTCCAGAAATCCACTTCGATCCTCCAAATGCAGCCCTGGAGCTTCTGC